CAGAACATTTTCAATATTTGTTTCAAGACTATTTCAAATTCGTTTTGTTCAACGTGAATCAAGATTTAAGTAGTCAACGATCAATAGAGTGGTCTATCAAAGATGTAGTCAAGTAATGTTCTAGTTACTTTATTTGAAATAAAAGAGGCAATAATATTGAAGTCTTGCCTAACACAATTGTTTTATAGGTCGATTAATTATTTAAGATTCCTCGGAATTTAAAAATTCTTAGGTCTTGTATTCATCTCTTATAATTACAATTGTATTCCAGACAGCACCTCTTGCAAGCGCTCGTAAGCGGCTCGTAGCAAGTTATATATTTCGAGATTTTCTCGGGCAATTTTGTTCCCCAACGTACAGTGATTCGCTCTGAATAGCTAACAGTTCCGAGACTGCAATTTTAAATTGGGAAACCCGAGAGAATCTTCTCTCCGTTCGACGTAACTACATGCTTATACTACTAACATATATACTACACATATACTTATCGAATAATTTGACAACTTGCAGACAAATGCTACTTTCGATATCGTATCAGAGAAAAAGAGACAAAACGTGAGAGAGAGAGAGAGAGAGAGAGAGAGAGAGAGAGAGAGAGAGAGAGAGAGAGACAGAAAGAGACAGAGACAGAGAAAAGAGAAGAAGAAAGATAGAGAGAGAATAAAAAGGAAAAAAAAAGATTTGTTAACAGCAACGTTGACCTGTTGAAAGAACGAGAGACACAGAATATACTTTTCAGTAACTCATCCAATAACGAATTAAAATTTCTCTCGCTTTTACAATTTATTGTTTTAACACAGTGAAAAAGAAATCGCGTAATTCAACAAAACTATAAGATAAAACTTTATATCATAAACATCCATTGATCACTTTTTCAATTTTGACAGCATTCGCGTGTGGAATTGTTCATCTTCTTACCCTCCTAGTTTTCTTTATCGAGGATTTAGTCGAAAATCGTTTCTTCTTAAACAGAAGAACACCCTGAAGAATCCTCTTTGGATTTGGCCTTTTTGTCTCCCGCCATTTTTCCTTGTCGATTTATCCGCTGATCGATCTGAAATGGTCGAATTATAAAAATACGAAAGTGCCTTTCATTAATATATCATATATATGTATTTGTTATATCTAATTATTGCAACAATGTTTTGACAATGATTTCATCGATGATCATTATTCGATGACAGCTATATGATTTGAAGTATTGAAACGACGATAAGAATCTGATCTATCGTGCCATGATCTAATTTCGGAATCTAATTACTGTGTGGTCCTTGACGGAACAATATATATGTACAATGTTTAATGCTCACTTTCATAGTTGATAATTTGTAGATGTAGCTTTTAATATAGCTAGTACATACGTAATTGCGGTAATACAAATAAATTGATTGCATGTTGTCTTACGCAACGTTTCTTTTATGCAACGTATTAGATATATAGAAGAAGCTAATCTTTTCCGTGCTAAAAGAACTTTAAATTTTTTAACGCGTAATAAGATTTGATCCGTTTTATCTCGAACTTTTATCCGAACGTAGTAAGATAGCTCTCAAAGTTAATAAATACCGGGCACATTATATTGTCGCTTTCACTGATTAAAAAAAAAAAAAAGAAAAAAAAAATAAGGGAATGACAAAAATTCGTTAGAAAATAATGTAAAGTCCAACATTCTCTTATGTTTGAGACAGGCAAAGGAAACGAAATCAAAAAGAGTGGGTTAACGATCGTTCTGATGTTATATCCGGACGGATATTAAATCCGGTTACGGGATGCATCTCATGCGAAAAGTTTCGCGTTGCTTCGCGAAATGTCTCGGGGTGCATGGGAAAGGGTAGACGGTGCTGAGGAAAAGATGAAAAGTAAAAGGAAATAAAGAGAGAAAGAGAGAGAAAGAGTGGGAGAGAGATACAGACAGAAAGAAAAGGAGAACATCGTAGAAAACGACGTAAATGAAAGCTGCCAACTCGCTTTTCGTAGGAGTCGAAGAGAATGCTAGATGGAGAGACGAAACGGGAGAGAAAAGAGGGTGGAAAAAGGGGAGGAAGAAGATAGGGGGTCAAGAGGAAAGGGGATATATTATGTTCGCTAAAGCAATGTTACCAACTCGAGAACTGGCGAACTAGCCCGACAGTAAAATCCATTTTATGTCTCCCTCGTAAAGCCAGTCAAATGAAACCTGGACTTAGTTTTCATACGTACACCGACCGTCGCCGACGTTGGCGACGACGTCGGCGACGACGTCGGCGACGGTAGCGTCTTCGTCGGCCTCCTTCCTGTTATGCATGTTACAAGATTCTTTTGTACAATTATAATCCTTAGGATTAAAGAATTCATTTTTCGGGCAGTTATGATTTTAATGTAAATATCTTTTAACGCTTTGACAAACGAGTAAATTAATTGTAAGTTAATTCATAGCTTGGTATTCATAAATTGTATTTGATATATGTCATTTATCTCTATGAAATACTATAAATAATGAAAAAAAAATATATATATATATATAATATATATATTTTCGAATATCTCCATATATCATATTTATGAACATTTAGATCATATATTCAACATAGATAATATAATCAACACGTTTTTTGCGACAATCTTTCATTTGATAAATTTATTGCTCTGATATCACTCGTTAAATTTTATGAGATAGCAGAAAACGTTGAAATTCATGAATGCATAAAATCTTAGAGAAAAATTTCCCTTTTGCACTATGCGAACGATAACTTATAAACGAAGAGCAAAACGAGATAGGCCCTGAAGAGCTCGGCCAAGCGAAACCTCGTCCGGTACTAAAACGTGGGCGCATCGTAAAACACCGTAGACACGCGCGTCCCCGAAAGTATCGTCGAGATAAAGGCTGAATCTGCTTTAACTAAAGGAATCGACTTTGAAACGAATTTTCGCACTATCGTTTAAAATCGTTTTCTCTTATAAGAGAGAGAGAGAGAGAGAGAGAGAGAGAGAGAGAGAGAGAGAAGGGAGTGGCGGTGGGAGAAATAGAGAGAAAGAAAGACATAGTCTCTGTTCATTTACTCACTATTAGAATAACACTAAAATCACATATCATTTTTTATATCAATTATAATCAATTTTAAATCAAATTACATACCATTTTTACATATCAAAGTTATATAAAATTACATATTATTTTTTGTAAGTTCATCTTTAATACATTATACAAAGTAAAAGAAAAAAGTATGAAGTTAAAGATATTAGATATAATTTTCTTGAATTTTCGTCATAGTAAATTATAGAAGGTTAAATCGAAGATACAAATTGTCACTTCCTCGAGAGATCCTTACGGCGATAACTTTATCGACGACCATAAAAAGTATTCGCGCTTCGACGTGAAACGACAAGGCTATTCATGGCCGGCATTAATTCTGCCTTTTACATGCACTTCGTTCGTTCTTCAAAATACTAATCTTTTAACGGATCATCCGATCTCGGCTGTTGGTTGCTTCGAAAGACAGATGGAAGAGGAGTGTTACACAGGTTATCCATGAAAATGAGAGATTCGAGATTCCTCATAACACTTGAAACTTTTATGCGAAATTGCCCCATTAAAATGTTACACATATTTAACCCGTCAACGTTGCCAAAAGTATTATTTCCTTAGTCATAAAACGAAACGATCGACGATTACTTTGACGAAGGGATGGTAAAGACAAAAGCTTGCTTCTCTTCGTTTTATCGTTATACTGTTTGGAGTTATGACGAGATATGAACTTCTTTAAAACGAAAGATTTATATATATACATACCTATTTGCTTTCCATTTTTTCTTCGAAATAAACATAAAATAATTGAAGATGATTAAAACACTTGACAGAACCTACCCTCTCTCTTTCTCTCTCTCTCTCTCTCTCTCTCTCTCTCTCTTTTTCTCGTTCTTCAAAAAACGAGTTTCTCATACTTACATCTGTGGAAAAAACTCTGTAAGAGGACTTCGAAGTTGACCGTCGTAATTACAAACTCGTAAAAGTTCGATCAATGTCTGATGAACGTTCAACTCGCATGGAAAGAAGTAGAAGAAGGAAAATAGCGAGAGAGAGAGAGAGAGAGAGAGAGAGAGAGAAAGAGAGAAAGAGAGAAAGAAAGAGGCACGCATCGGTTCACAGTTCATGATCCACTCTTCCTCAAAGCTGTCCTGTTCTCCCGATTGACCATGGGGTGCCTCATAAAAGTATGATTTACAACTATACCGCCTTGCAATCTGCTGAGCCACGTGATGTGCATTCTCTCTCTATCTCTCTCGTTCTCTCTCTCTCTCTCTCTCTCTCTCTCTCTCTCTCTCTCTCACTCTCTCTTCGGACTTGTTTTATCTGTTCACAAAAGTTCATCAACGTTTTTCGTGCTATTTGAACGTAAACATAGATCGTCTATGATCTTAGGAAAGAGTTTCGCGGTAAATCAAAAAAGAAAAAGAAGAAGAATTGTGATTTATAATCAAGGAAGAGAAGTCGATGCACTAGAACGTGAAAAATCTCATCCGGGAAATTTTCTCATTGGCCTGCATATATTTACAACCGCGTATAGATACTAGAACGTAGGATATCCTTATCCTCTTTATTTCCAATAAAGATACCTATCAAGATAAGAATTATATAAATAATAAAAACGAAGAATCTTGCGAGAGGATTCGATGAGAGATCGAAGGCGATACAGTTAAGAATGTGCGTTAAGGTGTGCCTTCTGAAATACCTAAGTTTTACGATGTTTGGGTTCCCTTTTCGTGCGTGGGCTGCATTTTCACCACCCGTCACTTGTGTCCGTATGTATATATAAATGCATACATACATACATACATACATACATAGGTATCTATATATATATTGTATGTACCGTCATTAATTCCCTGCTTTTTGCCTTCTCTATTTTTTTCGTCGAGAACCATGTTTCCCGTACGTTTTCAATATTAGGATTTCAATTTTCAACGCACCGTTCATATTCACTTTCTAATGATTTCCTCGACTGCTTCATTAACATTACCATCTTCCATTATTCCATTGTTATAATCAGTTTCCGGTCTTGGTAAAGAAAGTGAAGTTTCTGTGAACACGAAGATTTAAATACAAATTGACGAGAAGAAATAACAGAAGGGAAGGAGAAAGTAAAATTTCAAATGGTGAATTTGAAAGTATCGCATAATACACGTTGCTTCTCATTTTTACAGTGAATCTCTTCTTTTAGATGATCTAGGCGGCTTCCGGAACGCACTGTGACTTCTCGAACGATCGTAAAGGAGGTCTAAGGAGAGAAAGAAAGAGAGAGAGAGAGAAAGAGAGAGAGAGAAAGAGAGAGAGACATAGACAGACAGAAAGCACGTATCTAAAATGGAAACGGGCAGAACGTTCCCGGACGAGCTGGAGACGAAAGTGGAGGAGGTTTATCGTTTCTCGGTAAAGTGCTTCGCGGCTTCTAACACCTCTTCGGCACCTTTCCACCTCTCGCCCGAGGCTGAAGGGGTGGCTCGTAAAATCAGCGTGGATACTTCGAGTAATGCTATTCTATTCGAAAAGGAGAAAGAAAGAGAGAGAGAGAGAGAGAGAGAGAGTTAAATTTCCGATTGAGGCGAGACTTTTTAAAGACAACGACTAAATATTTAAAGAAAGAGATACCAGCTTGAAATTTAATAAGAAAATTTATAAATCATCTTACGATTATTTCTATACATTGAGTATTTTCAAAATATTTAAGATATCTCATCTATTTAAGATCTCTCAATAGATTTTATTAAGGAAACGAAGAAAATGTTATTCGACAATCGAATAATATTTTTCATTCCGTGAACAATGAATTGTAAAAGAATGAAAACTAGTATAGTCGTTTAATGTTTCCAATGTATTTGTTTATCGTTTATTCGAGATGATCGGTAGGAGTTTGAGAATCCTTTTCATTAACGAGACGCAAGTATCTTGAGTAAAGATTCCGGTGGTTTCGTTCGCCCGAGGTAGGTAGGTACGTCGTATTTCATAGAAGCCCGGCTGTATTTTCGCGCGTATGACTTTAACTGTCGATGCGGACTTCGCTTGTATTTCTTCTCAAGTTTTACTGGCGCTAGGTCGACCGCACCGAGCCGTAAACGTCACTCTCCGCTAAAGTCCCTGCACGGCTGCCTCGTCGCTTTCCACCCTCGGTTCCCTCTCCTCCCCTTTCTCTCTCTCTCTCTCTCTCTCTCTCTCTCTCTCTCGTGCAGTCTTCACCTTTCTACTTTCTTTCTTCCAGTTCTTTCTTTATCGATTTGACCGACGTCATTGTCAAACTATTCTCGAAAACAAGTCTCACTTATTCTTTCTTCTTTCTCGTCTAGTTCGTTTTTGAAATTTCTTTCGAATTAGACGCGGAGATAATTGGACATATATTAATAAGAGATTTGTGTTCGAATTTTGAAGATAATAAATCAATGGTTCCTCTTCATTTTTGAGAAAGGTAGAAGATAAAGAAAGAAAAAAGAGAAGGGAATCGCGGGGGTCAACCGGAAGACGGCGCCCATATCGTCTCGAGGCTTCATTAAGGATGCAATATGGCGGACTTTTTGTCGGGTAAACGAAGGGAGCGGAATACGCGTGAGAGAGCGGTCGGCCGCTTTTAAAAAAGTTACGACGAGGTTTATGGGGGTTTAATTGTAGCCCGTGACTGTGGTTAGAAAGTAGTAAAACTCCTTTTGCCAGAAGACTCCGGCCTGTTACTATGCTACTTAACGCTCAGCCGACTCTTACTTGGGACGTATGGAGAAAGAGAAGAATGACGACGAACAGGACGACTAGGGCGACGATGATGATGAAGCGAAAGAAAAAGAAGAAAAGGAGAGGTGAACGAAGAAGAAGAACAAGGAGGAGGAGAAGGAGAAGAAGAAAAATAAATAACAGCGGCGGCTCACGCACTTCGGTGCTGCTAATTATTGCTTTGTCTCGAAAATTGCACCCTCATCTTCGTGAAATAAGGCCGACGTTCGCCATCAAGGTCATAGATATTGTCTTTACCCTCTTCCTATTTCCAGTTTTCTTTTTATCTTTTTCTTTTTCCTCATCTTTCGTGCAAATGTATTACAATTTACATATTAAAAAAAAAAAAAAAAAAAAACAAAAGAAAATCCTATATTTTTAGTATCATCTAGTGTAATCTTTTTTTTCATAACCAAAATGATTTAAAGGTATTAAAATTTTTATAATTAAAATAATTAAGTTTTAACATCGTTCTAATTTCTTTCTTAATATTTCTTTTTTCTTTTGTCATTAATACTATGATAATAATAAAATTTTCTTTCTCACTTCTTTTTATCCATTGACAGTAATAGGCATATCACGCAACCGTGTATCTTCTACAACCATTGAAACAGAGAACATCTCCTAACACGTTCGCGCTTATCAATGGACAAAGAATATTATATTGTTATGTCTGAAATATCTTTAACGGTATAGTCTCCTCTCTCTCTTTTTTTTTCAGACATTATAATTATGATCATATGTACTATGTACTTATAATTATGATCAGATCATCTATAAACCTAATTATTGCACGCTATCAAAGTTAAACGAAGTATTTTGTATAGTGAAATTTTTGATTTGTTTAAATAGTTGATAATTTTTTTCTTTTCTTTTTTTTTTTTTTTTTTTTTTTTTTTTTTGAGAAGAAAAATACGATTGTAGTCAAAAAATCAAATGATTAAAATGAAAAAAGAAAATGGAAGAAGAATAAAGCGCGTTTATTCCATTTCGATCTTCGTTCGATCGTTATTGATACTTCTTTTCAAGTGCGTTCATTCATTATTAACGTGAGAATGCACCGTCAGTTTACAATATTGCAATTTTGTTATTATCCTCATTTTTTGAGAACAAAACAAATTGTTATCTGAAAGAGCCCTCTTCTATACGCTATTAGTCTATTTTTAGATTTGATTCTCCATTGAAGAGAGCATTTACATCGTAAATTATAATACTTCTGTAATTAGCCGTAATTAATTGGGTATCTGATAATATCACTGATTGAGTATCTGATAATATTAATACTCTTGAGTTAATCGTTATTGTTCAGATATGATGCATTGCGTATAAATGTATTAGCAGTTAATTAATTTTAAATCGTTATATTGTATACACGATTTCTATTATTTTCATTTGAACATAATCAATATTTCTTTTTCTTTGGATTTTTTATTTTTTTTTTTTTATATATATATATATATTTGATTAATGGGTCATCAAAACGGAAATACTTTTTATAAATGTCAGCTCTTTTTGAGATAACATTTTACGAATTGTCATTGACTCTTCGATTAGCGTCCGATATTCGTTGCGTAAAATCAACTAATTTATTGTGAGAAAATAAAATAAAATGAGAAAAAAGAGAGGAGGATGCGCCTATGATTACGAATATGAGTATCTCTATAACACTGAAAGATAAGAACGAGAGAAACGATGGGACGAAAAAAGATATGACAAGGGAGAAGAAGAGAAAGGGGAGGAGAAGAGAAAGGGGAGGAGAAAAGAGGAAGAGTAAGAGGAAGAAGAAGAAAGAACAAAGAAAGAAAAGACGGCGAAAAAATCTGCTGGTATATTGCGTTTACGAGCGTCGTTAAACTCGTTCTGAGCAGCCTATCTGATTACATTGATGCTACTTACCACGAAGTCAAGGTTGAAACCCTTTGACGATCCGTTAAAAAAACCGGTCGAACGATTAAGACGATGATTTTCGAATGATCATTCGTGTTCGTTGAAAAATATGTCACGAAAAAATAATAATCGTTTCATTTTCATGAATTAATTTTTTCAACGATCTAAATAAATTATTTAAATCAGGATGAATATTTTGTTTATCTCAAAATTGCAACGTAAAAAAAAAAAAAAAAAAGAAAAAAATGATAAAAGATTTAATAAGTAAAAGAAAGGAGAAAGTAAGAGCTATTAATTCTTTTTTACTTTGCATATTATACGATTAAAAAAAAAATTAAAATGATATTTCGTATAATCGTAATCGTTAAATGTTTACAACAGCTGGGTTCGACTAGTTAATACTGAACCGGCACAACGTCGTTAATTGTTTTATAGATTAATAGCCGAGTATACCAATCATTCGCTACCAGATTCCGGATCGTTAGAAGAGTCTTAGAGTTGGCAATAGTACCTTAGAGGCTTAGAGAGAAGATACTTTCGTAGATATCCTCAAAGACATTCTCGTAGGGATGAAGGTTGTTGTACTGCGTATGGATACCTTTTAAGATCGCCTCTCCTTTTTAACGGCTCTAATCGCTCGTAAGCCTTTGCAATCTGTATTCAAGATAACCGAGGGTGCGCAAGAGATGCTTTTATTCGTCCTTTTCATTTTCATATCTTTCTATCTCTCTTTCTCTCTGCCACGTTCTTTCGTTATTCCTCTACGGTCATAGTAGTACAGTCGCTTAGCGATTCCAAACATTTTTAGGCCGCTTTTACGAGCGCATTTGTACGACGACGACAACGACGCTTGATACCTCTTCGACTTCAACGACTTTTACTTGGACGGATATACGACCGATAAATTTTGATTTCGTGCTTGATCCGCGAATCGCACCCCTTGTCTATGATACATCCGTACCTTGTAAAAACAATCTGCTTAGTTTTATTTAAACATTTTTCGTTGTTTCTTTTCTTTAAGAATTTCTTTCTCAAAATGATTTTGCATATTTACTTTGAAAATCGTATTTGAAAGAACACAAACGAACGAACGAACGTACGAACCAAGAGAAAACATCACTTTCTTTTATCCAATTGAATAAGATGATTTACGATGAATTTCAATCTCGCTCTCTAAATGTTTTTTTCATTAATGCAAATCATTCATTATATTCTATCACGATTACTTTACGTATAATTCGCTGAACTATCAACTTTCTTCTTATATTTAAACGAAGCATCATTTACGTTTATAAATCAAACGATATCGATCGATTTTATACATTTTTATATTAATAGAATCTATAAAAGAATCTTCGTATGGAAATCTCGAGTATTCATTTTAGTTTAGATAAAAATTAGATAAAAATCGTTCAAAAAGATTTATTGTTTATTAGAATGAAAAAATAAGTTTTATTCGTTGGATAAAATTTAATATAACAAATCGTAACGGTATTTTTTTTTTTTTTTTTTTTTTTTTTTAATACAGACAAAGATAAGGAGAAACGAAAAAAAGGAAGCTGCAGTTTCCTCTAACCCGTTTAACGAGCAAGGTAGTCGTCGACCACCGACAAGAATAAAGATGGGTTGGAGGACGGCCAGTACTCGTAAATTCGATTTTTTATAGTGTTGTCATCGTTAAAGCAGAGCCGTTAAAGCCTTCAAATTCTGCGTTCACCCTCGATTGGCTCGCGAGGCGGCTGCTTTGATGAAGTTCTATTGCAAAAATTATATCTCTCTACCTGAAACTTTTTTCACGATCTTTGTTTCTAATCGTCGACCGATATATATATATATATATATATATATATATATAAAAAAAAAAAAAAAAAAAAAAGAGAAAAAAAGAGAAATAAAAAAAGAAAAATTAACAATCTCAAAAAGCGTAATTGATTTTTTATTTGCTTTAGTTCGCGGTATATTAATGCAGCGAATAACAAAGAAAGGAAGACTTTCCAGGACGTCATCAAAGACAACTGGATCTTGCAAAAAAGAGGCGAATCCCTGGTAGACCATAGGAGATAATTACAGAAGTGTCGGAAGAGCCGCGCCGTTTCAAAAATGGGATACGATTTGTTCCTCTAAGCATTGCAGCCTGATTATTTCTCAGAAAGAAGGCCATTTTATAGGTTAGAATTTGTTTTATGAGCACCGGATTTGCGATTACGATTCCGACTACGAAACTCCCGGACAAAAGTAGAATATTCTGACTTGGAGAATGAAAAAGTAGGAAAGAGATAGATATAGGAAGACGGAGAGAGAGAGAGAGAGAAAAAAATCGGATGTAAATTATTTCTTTTCATCGTGTACTTTTTTCTTTAGGTCTCTTTTTAGGTCCACATTAATGCACGAACACAATTACTCTTTAAATAATATCAAATTAAATTAAAGTGTTTATCCGATCGTGAAGGAATAATAATAATTGAAAAATATGTTTTGTTTAATCTTCTACTTATAATTTATGGTAACATCCTTTATAAAGACGATGATTTAAATTGATCATCTTCCTTATGTATTCATTTCAATTAAGACCTTTAATATCATGAAGTTTATTAGACTGGTTCCACACACTAGTAAAAGAATTTCGAAATGGAAGAAAATAGGTGCGGTTAAGGGAATAGAATGGAAATACACGATTCCACTTTCGAAGAAACGTAAAAATCACATAAAACGTAATATAATAACCAATTCGACGCGGTATTTTTGACCATGTTTCATTGACGAATATCACACCTATATTCTTATTAAGTTATGGGACGTTGCCTTTGTCATTGCTAGACATCATTTTCATTATGATTTTTTCCCGATGGATATTAATAAAATATTTTTATCTACCTATGAAAAGAAATGGGATGAATTCCATCGACACTTCTCCAAAAATGGGGATATAAAATTTATGATTCTCGAATTTCTGTCAGTAATATGAACGAAAAATCATTACATGGTTTTTAAAAATATTTTTATTTAATTCTCATATTATCTGCTGTCTTTGATTTATGCTGATACTCAAACGAATTACTTTACGTGTAAGTAAGTAGATATAAGTATATATTCTTTTCTCATAAAATTATTTTTAATTATTTCTTTTATGAAGACTCAGAAAAAATATCAGAAATAATATCAGAAATACTGATGTAAATATTGAACAGTAAAATAAATTGAACAAGTATTAACGATTAATAAGATTAAAAATTATGTTCCTATATCAATGTAAATAGTGTACTCGAAAATATTCAATAATTTTTTGATAATGCGATAAAATCATAAGAGTTTCAAATTGTAAAAAAAAAAAAAAACGAAGAAAATCAAATAAAATATAAATAAGCCAATATATACAACAAATAATTTTTATTTAACATAAACGAATGAATCAAGTAAATTG